ACTTTCGTGGGCTCCTGGGAGGTCCAGCGGAGTCGGGGGCCAATCGGATCCAGCCGAGACCTCGCGTTTCTCTGGGAGGTTGCGAACTGCGCAGTTGTTGCCACTTTCGTGGGCTCCTGGGAGGCACGGCGAAGATGGGGGCAGCGCTGATCGTGCATTTCTGGCGTGTTCTTCTGCATTGGGTGCAAATATTCGCCTCGGGTGGAGACGGGGTTGGGTACGTCTCGGGTGATTTTTGCAGCTGCTTTCGTAAACTTCCTCCGCCGTTTTCCTTCGATTTCCCACCGATTCCCTTTCAAATTGTGAGCATGCCGGCGGGGGGGGTCGCCGGGCGCGCCCCCGCCTGGCGTGGGGCGGGGTGGGGGCGGGCAAAGGAGGGAGGGAGGGGGGAGAGAAGGCGACGGAGGGGGAAGAGGAGAAAGAGGATGAGGAGGAGAAGGAGGAGGAGGGGGAGGAGGAGGGAGCAGGAGGGAGCAGGAGGGAGGAGGAGGGAGGAGGAGGAGGAGGAGGAGGAGGAGGATGAGGAGGAGGAGGAGGAGGAGGAGGAGGAGGAGGACTAATAGGTAAGGGGGCACGGAGGGGGGAGGGACGGACGATGAGGACGATGAGGAGGAAGAGGAGGGAGGGAGAGAGGGAGGGACGATGATGACGGTGATGATGGCAATGGTGGTGATGTTGAGAACGGTGGTGATGCTGTTGTTGTTAATGTTGTTGTTGATGATGATGGCGATGGTGGTGATGATACTGATGATGGCCATCATCATGGTACTCACCATCATCATCGCCACCATGAACATTAAAACAACCGTCAACATCATTACCACCATCACCATCATCAGACCCACGTCCATCACCGTCACCATCATCATTATCACTTTCATCATCATCGGCATCATCATCATGATCATCATCGGCACCGCCATCATTATAATCATCATGCCCATCGGCATTGGCATCACCATCACAATCAACATTATCATGATTATCGCCACCAGCATCATCATCACCACCTCCACCATCATCACCATCGCCACCATCCACATCAACGTCATAATCATAATCATCATCACAAAAAATATCTCATCAACTATCAGCATCATCATCACCACCACCATCAGCATCATCACCATCACGATCACCATCACCATCGACATCACCATCGCCATCCTACTCATCATCACCATCCTCATCATCACCATCACCACCACCACCATCCTCATCCTCATCCTCCTCATCCACATCATCCTGCTGCTCCTCTTCTTCCTCCTCGTCATCATGACCATGACCGTCATCATTACCATCGCCATCGCCATCATCATCATCATCATCATCATCATCATCATCATCATCATCATCATCATCATCATCATCATCATCACCATGAGCAGAGGGTAAGCGTGAAATCCTCGTTGATCGTGGTTTGTTATCTAGGAATGGAAACCCAGGTTCACTATCTGCAAATGATACCGTATGGATTTTTCTCCTGTGAATGGATCGGGCTCAGCCCTCCCCCGGCCGAATCATTATCTTTCCGGAATAATCAACCTAATATTTTAACATTGGAACCAAAGTTTATTTCAGGCCAGAACGTACCCCCAACCGGCGCCCCCCAAGCTCAATCATTATCAGTCCAGAATAATTAACCCAAAGACAATAATCCGGGAACATTATGAATCCGGGTTTATTTTCTCCTGGAGATAATTAACCGTGGTTAATATTCCGACATGAAAAACCTGGTGAGGAACCCGGGGATTGGGGGGAAAATGATAATTAGTACCATTCCGGAATGACGAAAACCGAATTCATTATTCCCGGGACACTGTAAACTGCAGGCAATATTCCCGGAACGTTATGAACCCAGGTTGATATGTTCTTGTGGTCGATATCCGAAGAACATGATAAAACAGGGTTTATAATGTTCCGGTGGATAAATTATGAACCCCAGTCAATATTCCCAGAACATATAAACCCAAGTTCATAATGTTCCGAGCCAGACATTATAAACCCTGGTCCATAATCCGACAAAATGGCCATCACCATCACCATTATCATCATCACCATCATCATCATCATCAGCATCATCATCGTCATCACCACCACCATCATGGTCATCACCGTCATAATAATCATAATCAGCATCGTCGTCGTGGTCATCATCATCAGCATCATCATCCGCATCAGCATCAGCATCGGCATCACCATCATCATCACCATCATCATCATCACCATCATCGCCACCACTAGCATCATGATTACCATTATCATCACTACCATCAGCATCACCATCATCACCATCACCATCATCATTATCATAAACACCACCACCACCGCCACCATCATCATCACCATCATCATCACCACCATCACCACCATATCATATTATCATCAGCATCGTCAGCATCACCGGCACCATCAACATCATCATCGTCTTCGTCGTCGTCGTCATCATGACATCATGACTGGTATGATGGGACTGATGAACCATGATGTGGTGTTGGCGGGGAGGGAGGAAAAGGAGGATGATGAGGAGGAGGATGAGGACTGAAACTAGGACGATGATAATGATGATAGAGATGATGATGATGATGATGATGATGATGATGATGATGATGATGATGATGATGATGATGATGATGATGATGATGATGATGATGATGATGATAATGATAATGATGATGATGATGATGATGATGATGATGAGGGTGCTGCTGATGCTGCTGCTGACGATGATGATGTTATTGATCATGCTGCTGATGACGACACTGCTGATGCTGCTGATAAGATTAAGATGAATATGAAGATGATGGTGATGATGATGATGATGACGATGGTGGCGATGATGATCATGATGATGATGGCGATGATGATGGCGATGATGATGATGATGATGATGATGATGATGATGATGATGACGACAATGATGATGATGATGATGATGATGATGATGATGAGGATGATGGAGATGGAGATGAATATGATGATTATGATGATGATGATGATGATGATGATGATGATGATGATGATGATGATGATGATGATGATGATGATGGTGATGATGGGGAGGAGGAGGAGGAGGAGGAGGAGGAGGAGGAGGAGGAGGAGGAGGAGGCCAGGAGGACCCTCCTCTGCCCCCTTCCCTGAGGATGAGGAGGAGGAGGAGGAGGAGGAGGAGGAGGAGGAGGGGAATGGTGAGAGAAGGAGGAGGATGATGATGATGATGAGGAGGAGGAGGAGGAGCAGGAGGAGGAGGAGCAGGAGGAGGTAGAGGAGGAGGAGCAGGAGGAGGTAGAGGAGGAGGAGGAGGGGGAGGAGGAGCAAGAGGAGGAGGAGGATGAGGAAGAGTGGAACATGATGAGGAGGAGGAGCAGGAGGAGTAGGAGGACAAGGAGGAGGAGAAGGACCAGTGTAAGCCCGAGACTCATCAACGATGCTGGAATGAAGCCCTCCCCGAAAGCTCCCTCTTCATAAGGCCTTACATGGATTCACCTCCATTGAGGGAAAGGCACCGTTGTAAGACAACTGTTTCAGGATCAAGACGCGTGTCAGAATAGCATTTCAAAACTTCAGCGCCACGAATCAACCGGACTGTTGCGTCTTCACGGTCCTCAGCTGTGCCAGAACACTATTCCTGGGACTTCAGCACCGCGAATCAATGCAACTGCTGCGCCCTGACAATCCTGAAACGTTCCAGTACGCCGTTTCTGGTACGTTAACCATGAGAGTCCGTGCAACCCTTACAAGCTTGTAAGACGAATGTGCGCGGCGCTAATGCGATAACCACATTTCGAAGACCGCCCGCCTTTAATCCGTGAGGTTCTTGTAATATTTGACAATGAATGTGCACGCCGCCAAAACGAGAACCACATTGTGAAAACCGCCCGCCCTAACTCCGTGAAGCTCTTGCATTTTTTTACAACAAATGTGCGCGGCGCCAAAGCGAGAACCACAGTTTGAAAACCGTGCGCCCTAAATCCGTCAAACTCTTGCAAGTTGTTGAGACGAATGTGCGCTGCGCCAAGGCGAGAGCCACATTTTGAAAACGACCCGCCCTCAATCCGCGAAGCTCTGGCTCATGTTTGAAACGAGTGTGCGCGGCGCTAAGGCGAGAACGACACTTTGAAACCGACCCGCCTTCAGTCCGTGAAGCTCTTGCAATTTCACAAGACGAATGTGCGCGGCGCTGAGGCGAGAGCTACAATTTGGAAACGACACGCCCTCCATCTGCGAAGAAGTCTCAAGCGAAACGCCCGGCTTGCCCTTCCGACTGGCCTCGGGGTGCGACAGGGAATAATTATTCATAAAGACAAGGATCGGAGAAGGAGGAGCAATACCCTCCTACGGGTGGAGGAGGAGGAAGAGAGGAGGAGGATGATGAGGAAGGAGGAGGATGAGGAGGAGGTGGTGACAGGAGGCGGATGATGGGGCCTCGGCGCTGGGCGGCACCCGCGGCCGACGCCCTCTTCGTGATGCTCGGGGCCACCGAATTCTGATGGGGACTTCAACGATATTCACTAGGAATCTACTCAGCGTCGTCGTCGTCGTCGTCGTCGTCGTCGTCGTCGTCGTCGTCGTCGTTGTCGCCATTCAGGGTCGGCGGCGCTGGCCGTAAGGCCTTCGCAATCAGCTGGATCTGGGATCTGGCCAACTTTAATTCGATTTTAAGTAGGATTCTATATGAGTCCAATTGAAACCAGCTGGATCTGGGATAAATATGCCTTTACATAGGCCCCCCCACAAACCCCCCCGCGCGCTGGGCGTGGCCGCTGCTTCAGACAGCCGGCCACCCCTGGGGGAGACGCCCTGTTCCCAGACCTCCTCGCGTCGGGAAGCAATAGTAACGGGAGGGTTTTCTGCACTTTCGGCCTCCAGGTGCCCTCGCTGGACCTCGGGACTGTCAAACAATGGCTCAGGATGAAAAACCGGTCCCTGGGAAGGGATGCGGGCTTCTGTGGGCCACGTCGCGAAATGATCACGACGTCGGGGGTCCGGGTTCGTGGGGCGGTGGGAAAGTCTGCCAGCTCCCGATCACTGCGCACCCGCGGCGCAGGGGCCCGCGGTGCCGCGTTCTGGAGGGAGGGGGGCGATGGGAGGACGCCAAGGCGAGCTCGCACTGCGCAGCCATGGCAGGCGTGGGTCACACCGTCAGGTTCACTTCTCCCAGGCGGCCCTGACTGGACATACCTGGGAGTCTCCAAAGCGCCAGGGGTCAGGGCCTCCTCACCGTCGTCGTCGTCCTCCTCTTCTTCCTTCCTCCACCTCTCCTCCATTTAACAACTTCTTCTTCTCCTGCCCCCCTCCCTCCCACTCCTCCTCAAGCTCCTCATCTCCCTCTCCCGTCCTTCTCCCCCCCCTTTTCCTAAAGATAACTCCTGCCTGTTGCGCCTCCAGACGTGTCGGCAGGGCGGTTTAGGCGTTCCGCCATACCTCACTAGTCATGATTCCGAAATTTGACTTTTGCAACCGCTGCACGGATGGAAGGAGGGGCGGGTGGTCTTCAAAAGGGGGCTGTCGCCGTAGCGCCGCGCACACCCAGTTTTTGATTGCAACAGCTGCAAAGATGGTAGGGGTGGGTCGGGTGGGTCGTTTTCGAGTTGAGCTCTAGCCTCAGCCCCGCCTACGGCCGCCTTTTTAATTTTTGCAGCA